CCCGGCCCCAAGTGGTTGCCTTTCCCCGTCTCTCGGCCTTCCTCCCCCTCCCTCCCCTCCGAGGAGATTTGTACGCTCTTTCCCCTCCCCACCCTCCTCCTCTCGCTGCTGCTGTAGCGCTTGGGTTCCGAGGGCTGTGAGCAGAAATCTAATGAGACCCAACTGGCTGTTTATGTAATTCTTCACGCTCCCGTCTTCAGGCGTTCCTTTAAAACTACCTTCCGCCGAGCCTGAATTTCGCTTGCCTGCACCTTCAAGCAATTTGGCTTAATCAGCCGCCTGCGCCGGCGCTCAGGCTTTTGGCGTGGAAAGTGTTTGTAGTTTGGGGGCAGCCAGGGAGTCTTCCCTTTGTCACCACGAATGTGGAAAATGGAACAGATGGATGATTACCAGCTTGGTTTTTAAATGTCCTTTTAAATCAACCTCGGTGTACAAATAGATCTCCTTTGCAAATATCTTCTGTTTGCCCTTGATCTTTTCTTATCCCCACCCAGTGCTGATCCAGCAAACGTTTAAAGGTCGACCTTATCGTACAGGACTCCGGCTGTGCTGTTCTCTTATCGTGAGGGAGGGAGGTGGTTTTGAAAATCAGAATAGAACCCAGAAACCCTGCCCATTAAACAGATTAATAAATAGTTTTGAAGTGAATTGTTGCTTTTGTTATATTTGCTGTCCAAGAGGTATTTTCAGATTTAGAAAAATATATATTGAAAAGAAAAAGCACAAAGAAGCTCAGTTGTGTGTCCTTAGTATGTGGAAGACCTCAACTGTGAATCATTCACTAGAATGGCAGTTCATTTAGCACATAGTACCTTGAAATTTTAAAAATAATCTTACTTCTGAAATTTCTAAATGTTTAACAGTAAAGGAGATTTAAACAGTACAAGTGTATATCCAACATGAACAAATACAGAATTCGCTTCTAAATTGGTGAATAGGAATATTGCCAACTTCTAAAACTGGCATATATGTGTATGGAGGTAGGTGATGGGTAATGCTGAGTATAGTTTTCAGTAAACATTCTTGGGAGAATTGAGGGAAGAAAAAGAAGGAATACACTACATATTCTGAAGATATTTTTATTTTTAGAATATTCAGAAACAATTATAGGGTTAAAAATATTGTTTTAATTGTAAGTCCTGTTTTCCCATGATATCTTGAACTTTAATAAACAATTTTCTATTGTATATTTCTTTATTTTTTTGCTGATTATATTTTTCAGACTGTCTAGTCCATTAGACTCTTTCAAAAGTCAAATTCTGGGGGTAAAAACAGGCTGTGGGACTTACATTTAGCTTATTTGTACATGTTTGCTTTTGTTTTGTTTTCTTTAAGGAACAAGACCTGTCAAGGTGAAGGATAATCTACTAATACCAGCACTTTGAATGAAAATTTGTTTTTCTGCCACAAACTGAACACTTTTTTTCGGTGTGTGTGGGGAAGTTGAAACACAAATCTAACTTTGTGGCATAGCAGCTATGCAGCTTGAAATCCAAGTAGCACTAAATTTTATTATTTCATATTTGTACAATAAGCTTCCCAGGAGACGTGTCAACATTTTTGGTGAAGAGCTTGAAAGACTTCTTAAGAAGAAATATGAAGGGCACTGGTATCCTGAAAAGCCATACAAAGGATCAGGGTTTAGATGTATACACATAGGGGAGAAAGTGGACCCAGTGATTGAACAAGCATCCAAAGAGAGTGGTTTGGACATTGACGATGTTCGCGGCAATTTGCCGCAGGATCTTAGTGTGTGGATTGACCCATTTGAGGTTTCCTACCAAATTGGTGAAAAGGGACCAGTGAAGGTGCTTTATGTGGATGACAATAATGAAAATGGATGTGAGTTGGATAAAGAGATCAAAAACAGCTTTAACCCAGAGGCCCAGGTTTTTATGCCCATAAGTGACCCAGCCTCATCAGTATCCAGCTCTCCATCGCCTCCCTTTGGTCACTCTGCTGCTGTAAGCCCTACTTTCATGCCCCGGTCCACTCAGCCTTTAACCTTTACCACTGCCACTTTTGCTGCCACCAAGTTCGGCTCTACCAAAATGAAGAATAGTGGGCGCAGCAACAAGGTTGCACGCACTTCTCCTATCAACCTTGGCTTGAATGTGAATGACCTCTTGAAGCAGAAAGCCATCTCTTCCTCAATGCACTCTCTGTATGGGCTTGGCCTGGGTAGCCAGCAGCAGCCGCAGCAGCAACAGCAGCCATCCCAGCCTCCACCACCACCACCACAGCAGCAACAGCAGAAAACCTCTGCTCTTTCTCCTAATGCCAAGGAATTTATTTTTCCTAATATGCAGGGTCAAGGTAGTAGTACCAATGGAATGTTCCCAGGTGACAGCCCCCTTAACCTCAGTCCTCTTCAGTACAGTAATGCCTTTGATGTGTTTGCGGCCTACGGAGGCCTCAACGAGAAGTCTTTTGTAGATGGCTTGAATTTTAGCTTAAATAACATGCAGTATTCTAACCAGCAATTCCAGCCTGTTATGGCTAACTAAAAAAAGAAAAAACAGTATCGTAAAAGTTAAAAGTACAAGATAAAATGCTCGAGCCCAAGGAGGATTTTTTCACCTCCTTGAGATTTTTTTTTTTTTAAGCTTATAGTAAAGATACATTCAAGCTTGGTTACAAAAATAAAACATGCATCACTTTTCATTTGCCAACCAAGCACAAAGTTATTTTATACTGACTGTATATTTTAAAGTATACTCTCAGATAAGGCCTCTTACAGTATTTAAGATATAGCAAGGACATGGCTGATTTTTTTCTTTTTATAAAAAATTGGCACTAATAAGTGGGTTTATTGGTCTTTTCTAATTGTATAATTTAATTTAGTACAAAGTTTGTAAAATATCAGAGGATATATATATTGTTTCTACGACATGGTATTGCATTTATATCTTTTTACTACAGTGATCTGTGACAGCAGCAGCTTCGTGTTGTATTTTTTTTACTGAAATTGTAAAATATCCATCTTAAAGACATCAGCTATTCTAAAAATTGTGTACAGGATATTCCTTTAGTGGTGGAATTAAAATGTACGAATATTTGCTTTTTCAAAAAATGTATTTTCTGTTAAAGGTTTAAAGATTTTTGCTATATATTATGGAAGAAAATGTAATCGTAAATATTAATTTTGTACCTATATTGTGCAATACTTGAAAAATGGTATAAAAGTATTTTGAGTCAGTGTCTTACATGTTAAGAGGGACTGAAATAGTTTATATTAAGTTTGTATTAAAATTCTTTAAAATTAAAAATGCTTTTTGTGGTCTTTTAAATCTTTGCCAAAGATCCATCTCTGGAATTATGATGTTGTAAATGCTAGTGATGCAGAAAGGTCTGACTCATTGAATCACAAAGGAGTAATGGAAAGCAAGTGCTCTTCTGGTGCACCAGATAGTAGTTTGCTACCTAAAAAGTTGTCCAACAAAACTCCATAGCCTGACGAATGCTTGGGACAGCTTTTTTTTGGCAACTCTTCAGTCCATAACTGTCTCCCCATGATAGGGATGGTGTGCTAAGGCTTGTCAACCCTATTTTATAACAAGTTTTTAAAGTGTGGTGTCATGCTGTGGAGTCAGGTGATAAAGTGAAATTCTCATGTAATCTGAGGATTTATTTGAGATGTGTAAGGAGACTATTGGGTCGTTTTCTGTCTCTATGGAGGATGAACAGTTCGTAAAACTTGCTTGGACAAAGCAGCTGACCTAACTTTAAAAAGATTTAGGTCTGTTTACTAATCCTTTTACTTAAAGTTCAGTCATGTCTGTAGCTGGAGAATTTATGGTCTAAATCTATTCAAGATTGGACCAGTTGCTAAATGTTAGCATTTGTGTGCATTTTCCCCAGCAAAAAAAGTTTGCATATTGGTTTTTCGTTGCAAATTGGATAGACAACCTGCTGGTTGGGGGGGGGGGGCGTTATTTATAGGTTATCCATTGATAATGTGTCAGATTGTAGTGGTTTATTAAGAATGGAGTTTTTTTATAACATGAGTTGGGAAAGACACTATTTAAATGATGAGTCATTTCACTGTTAAATTGTCCATTGATAGTGTGTTGACATAAGCATTGGTGACAAAATTGTCTTGAATGGGAAGAAAAAATAATGTTCTCTGTGCTTTTATAGTAAGAAACCAGCACTGTCTGGGTTACTAGTGAAATAAATTTGGTGTCAAATGAGTTTTTTGGACATCAGTCTACAAAAGCCTTTTGTCTGTACCCATGCAGTTTAGAGCAATAAAAAGTTTTAAGGAAACAAGCACTGGAAATAACAGAGCTAAGCTGTTCTGTCAGCTCCATGGTGAGGCCTTTGTCCTTTAGTGGACAGAATGAGGCTATGAAGAAGCATTGGGATAGTGAGTGGAACCGGCAGATCTGGTCTGCCAACACTATCAATTATGTGCTTTTGTGATCACGACGTTTGAATAGCTGTCAGAGAACAATCAGAGTAATGGTTTTAAGCACTATTTTCTGCCAGAGACTGGTTGAAGTTATAGGCTTGGAAGAAAACTGCCTTTTTATAAGTGAAGAAAGGCTCAAGTTGACATAATTTTTCCTAAAAATCAGAATAAGACAACTGGCCAGATATGCAATAGAATTTGTAACAATCTGGAACACTAATATATATAGCTTTTAAATAATAGAACTTAAGTAATTTCAGATCTTATGGGGGCATGTATTGAAAAAAAATCTTAGGGAAATTTCGCCCTGGCCAGTGTGGCTCAGTTGGCTGGAGCATTGTCCTCATACACCAAAAGGTCTTAGGTTCAATTCCCAGTCAGGGCCCATGCCCAGGTTGCGGGTTTGATCCTTGGTTGGGGTGGGTACAGAACTGATCTATGTTTCTCAAATGGATGTTTCTCTTTTACTCTAGTCAATAAAACCATGTCCTTGGGTTGAGGATTAAAAAAAAAAACCTGAGGGAAATTTTGTATTGATACATATGTTCACTTGGTGTTTGAAAAGAGCTAAATTTTATCAAGAAAAAAATCATTTGAGTTTGGTGTCCTTGAGGACTTCGTGATTTTTCTTAAAGAATGAACAAAGGCTCTGTTTCCATGCCCTTTTTGCTCATTAGGAATGGAAATTTTTTTTAAAGGTGTTTTTTCTAGCACACCTTAGAAAAGCTTACATCTTAGTCCCAAATCTTTTCTCCCCACTGTGCCATCACATTTTTGACCCTCTGTGTGGAGACTGTGTTGACAGTTTGATGAGTTACATCTTATTAGGTCTTTCCTATCTTTTTGACTTCTCTTACTATAGATACTGTAGCAGTCTCAGAATGGCCTTATCCTGGTGTTCAAAATGCTGCCTTATATATACATGGCTCATAAATGAGTGAAGAAGATGACATTAAAGAGTAGCCCTGGGCTTAGAATATTCCTTTACTGCCCATCTTTTCTAAAATCAGGTGTATTGTTAAATCCTCTTTGAAGAGCTGTAACCTCTATTAGATGGCAAATGTAGGCCTTCAGTCAAAATGTCCCTTAAAAATAATGACAATATTTACTATGTTAGCTTTTGAGGATGAAACTAAAAGTGTCCTGACTCTAAAACGTTTTTCTAATGTGTGTTGGTGTTAATTTCATTCTCAAATAGGCGTCTTATGTACTGGCATTTCAATTGAGAGACTTATTAGCCCAGCAAATCTTTAGGACTTAGGTTATTTTTAAATGCCACTAACACACAGAAAAAAGTATCTCTCTGGACATATGTAAGCCAGTGAAGTAAAATGCCAGTTGGAAAGCTTCCTCCACACCCTTTCCCTACACAAACAGAAAATAGCATAGGCAAGGCACATCAAATATGTATCCTTACTTGACTAGAATGCATGTTTTGTCAGAAGCAGGATAGCAACTCTAGTGCAAGATCAGGTCAGAAAACAGCCTTATTAGAAGACAAGTATGGAAAATTGCCATTGCTGAATAAAACCCATTTATATCATTTAGCATGCCAATCAGTTGATGCTTAATCAATTTGGCCTAGGAGGTCACTTGAGATCAGAGTTCTTCAATTTTTGTGTTATGTTAGGAAGATACTATCTTCATATTTAAAGACCTAGGATCAATATCTGTGTACATGCATTTGGAAAATTAGTACCACACTTGTGTTGAAGTCTATTTTTTATTTAAAACATTCAGTTACCAAATACTAGTGTAGTACTTACTATGTGCCATGTACATTTCTAATCTAGTTTGCAGAAGAAGGGCTGAGACACAGCTTAACTTACCCATGATTGTGTGGACAATAAGTGGCAGACTTGGAATTCAAATTCAGAATTTGAATTTGGTTCCAGACAGAGTTCATGCTCTTAAACCATCTGCTTTGTTCCCTTAGATTAGTTGCTATTCTGATTTGAAGTCAGTAGAATAAAGACCATTTTTGATGTATTAGCCGCATGACTTGTAGAATCTCAAGAGAGTTAATGAGAAGAGTCTGGTGGAAGGTGCTTAGCCATGCTTAGAAGTCATGATGTTTTGAGAGATACTTTATATCTTTGATGGTCATAAACTATAATCACAGGCTATCTGGAAGTATTTTTAGAAATCATTAACAGTGCTCTGATTTTGCTGATTTTCTTAATTCAATTGTGTAAATTCTCTCATTTTATAACCACAGAATGACTCCCTTAGACTAAGGACTGCAGATTTAGTGGCCCTGTCACTTTCAAGTAAAATTATAAACATTTGATCTGTAGCTATTTTCACACACATTCCTTACCTGTGTTTATTGATAAACACAATAAGGAATGGCCAAGTAGGTTACTAAAATAGTTTTCAATAGTGTGTTTCTAGTACCTATGATTTGCTTTAAGTTACTTTAAAAAACTATCTTAAGACACGCCTTTCTAATACATGATTTCTATATATATAGATGTGTTAAATGCCCTTTTTGCTTTTATTTTAAAACATTAAGGAAACTGAACAACCTCTTATTTCAAACTGGTTCTGAAAGCCTTTCTTGAAGAAATCAAAGTACATTTTAGTTTAAAATAAAAACTCACATTTTAGAAGCATAAGCTATTATGGATGAACTTACATTCCCTTTTAGTGTTGCTATTAGTTTTGAACATGTTGAAACTGCACAGTAACCAGAAAAAAAATTTTTTTAATGGCTCAGAAGAATCTGGAATTTCTCTGTGGGTTAAATCTTGTTATACTAAATGCCTACTCTTCAGATTTTGAGTTAGTTAGAATTTGGTTGGACCAAATATTAATGAACCTTTAGTTGGGCTTTTGGATGTTTAGATTGGGTTATAAGTCTTGCATTAATAATGGTATTTGACTTATAAATAATAAACCACTACTAACCATTTCTCAATATTTGAGTTTTAAGATTTATATTTTAGAAGACTTACTTTATACATATAATCTCTAAGTGGAGCTTTGCGATCACCTCACAATTAGGCAAACCTTAAAAGAAAACATTGAGCCAGGAGGCAGCTCATGTCTAGAGGCTATTTGAAATTATGGGCCTAATTTCTTCCTTAAGCATGTTAAATCATTTGACTGAGATGGCTCAGTTTCTTTGTCTGCAAAATGGGTATAGTGATATGAACATACTTCCTCAAGGAACTAATGACCTTGCTATGAAGAGTTGTCATTGAATTAATGGAACGTGTTCTTAGGGGCTTACAGTATTTAGAAGCCATCAAGTTCATAATTTTGCCCATGTTTGTTGCCCTTTGAAATCAGAAAAGTTAATGAAGACCGTAACTGTCTTTATTATATCAACATTTGTTGTCCAACAAATAAAAATAGAATTAAATAAAAATTATACAGTAATATCCTAAAAGCTACTCTATTTATGTTTTAGTAATAAACACCACTGGCTTTGTAATTCTAGTTTTGAGGTGCCGAAAGGGAAACCAGTGTTTCAGCATTCTTTTTCATACAATCATCAAATTGATTTAAACTCAGTATACAAGTTGATACTCCTTTAGGGGGCAGCCAAAAATGTTTGCTAAAGTGCCTATGCTGTTGTGAAAAACATTGAAATGGTTGTTCCTATTTAAATAATACTGGCTCAGGAGCAGTGAAAACGCAGCTCTGGTGGTAGATGTTTCATATGGATAATGGTGCTAGCTTTATTTTAGTGCAGGTAGGAAAGAAGAGGAGGTTTGCTTTACAGAAGGGAAAAACATTGAGGACTTGGAAGGAAAAACACATTCCGTCTAGCATTCTGAGTACTTTACTTCACTGATAAAATATGACCAGTGTGCAGAACAGAGAACAGGTGTAAAATATTTTTAGACAAACCTTGGCATATATTGTAGGTCGCATCCTTTCTCTCTACACACGCCTCAAGTGTTTCAAAAATAATTGTGGAAAAACCACATTTACAAAATAAGCTAGACATTGCTTTTATGGTTTTGGGGGTTTTTTTGTATTGAATGTTAAAGACAAACATAAACTTCCTTCCCAGCCATCAGGTTGCAGCTATTTTTAAATGCTGGTTCTCTGCATGCCCTTCTACAGCTCTTGGGTCTCCTTTTCTCTTCCTCCCATAGTGCTGTTGAGAGCTGGGGGCATATGGCAGCATGGCCTCTTTTGAAGCATGAAGGCTGGGTTATGATGTACTCCTAAACCAGATTCAGGTTTAAAACAATCCTTCATTCCTTTCAGCTAGAAAGAAATGTCGCAAGCCTGGGCTTGGCATCATTCTAGCTTGGTTTCTAGCAAATGGGTATAAATCGATGACTTCTGGGTACTATTAAAGGGAACACCAAATACTCCCATCAGTATGGTTTAAGAAATAGAATCATAGGACCCTACAAACATTGCCCATTTTAGTCAAGAGTCGAGATGGCCTGTGACAGGTTCAGTTGTGCTAGGCACAGTCCTTTGCCACCCCTCCACCATCCATAAATTCATTTCTAGTAAGGTTGGACTTTGATTTGCTTTATAATGAGCCTGTCTGTTCT